GGATTGGATGGCCCCCGGCGCTGCCGGAGAGGCTGGCGACGGCGGGGTCAGCCCCACGGGGACCGTCCCCGGCTTTGTCCGGGAGTAAGGGCAAAGGTGTGAGCGGCCTCCGAGCTCGCCCGCCCCGGCGGCAAAGGCAGGGCCGGGGGCGCATAGCCTGGGGACAGAGCACTTCGGGAGAGCCGCAAGGGCAAGGGCAATGTCCCCCCACTGCACCCCATGCCCTGCTCCCCCTGCATCGTCCCCTCCACTCCCTGCTTCCAGCGCAACCGCCACCACAGCACCCCTCTGGCACAGAAAGCATCCTTAGCCTTGTCTGTACCTATTGCACAGTGGTGTCACTCTGCTGAGTTATAGTAATGAAGCTAGTGAACGTGGCAGGTAAGAACAGTTAGAAATGCTCAAATACTGACTGCTAACGCCTAGAAACGCTGAAAGATTGGAAGGACGGGTGAAAACAGACCCAGACCAGCACAGAAAGGCAGTCCAGTGACCAGGCTCTGAGGATTCACGCAAACTTGTGTCTCACCTTCTCTTCCTCCACAACCTCCCTTTACCCAAGCCGTGGAGGGTGCCCCTCCATCCTGCTGCAGCGGTTTGAGCCCCTGTCACCCCCAGCCATTTTATCAGCTCCTCTTTGCCTACAGACTGCCAGACCCAGAGCAAAGTCAGCCGGAGGAATCGTGACCCCACACATCCACTGCATGCGGGCAAACTCCCAGGTACACGCTGAAACCAGGGCTATAGTGGTTTTCAGGCTGCCTACAAGGGGAGACCAGCCTCAGAGAAGGGTTTCCCTCATTAGCTGAGCGGCCGTCCCATCTCAATCTGTCCCATGTGAACCAGAGCCCTGAGACTCCAGCTAATGCCCTGGAGCAGCTGAGGGCAGAGGTAGGCACTGGTCCTTCTCTGCTGTCCCTGGGCAGGAGCAGTAACCTGCAGCAGCAGGGCAGAGTGCCCACTTGAGGACATTTACACTGTAAAAATTAGTTTAACATTTAAATCTGCCAAAATATACCTGTCCCTCTTCTCATCCCTCAGCTCTCTGAAAAATAATGTGATCCTCCCTCCATTGAAGCTTGTGAGATGCTTAGAGGTTGCTGTATAAAAGGACATAAAACTGCCTAAAATTGGGAAGTGTGGCCTTCCTCCATCTCACAGGCAGGCACACAGTCCTCCCGTGCGGGATCAGGACCAGAGGCGCAAAGAAGTGTGACACAGTTCATACCGCGTACTGCTGTCCCTGCCTATCTGCTAATTTGGTGACAGACTTGGCAGTGAGTGAGTTCAAGCAACTTTGGTGGGCAAATGTTCCTGCTTCGAAGCTCCAACTGTCATTCACTCAGAGCTGGATTCTCACTTGCCAACTCAGTACAGAACATTAGGACCAAATACAAATTCCAAAATTCTGCCAGTTCTCCAGAGCTGGGCTGCATTATGTAACGGCAGATCGCGCAGGGTGCTTTCCGACACCGTCTTGATAGTCTCAATCAGGCAGAGGCAACGTGGGTGGAACTCTTATCATACCAGGCTGACTCCCCGTGAATGAGCAGAGGACTTGCACGTTCTAGAAATAGTACGTGCATTAGTATTCCTGCATGAGAAATTTGGGCACGCTGCTTTCCCTTTTCTCTCTCTTTTTTTTTTCCTTCCCTTTTTAATAAAGGCTTAAAATAAACTCCAATTCTGCAAGCACTTACTAGCAAGCACAGCGCGCACAGCAGCGAGTCCGTGCAGGATCACAAACATCTGAGCACCAGGTGACAGCAAGATTTCGTTATCAGCTTGCCCTAGGCAGGACCCAAAATAAAACCCTGAACTTGGGGAGACTTTTTCCATGAGTTCCAGCAAGGTCTGGGATTTCAGCCTGCCTCTGCTTGTACAGCACTTAGCACGACAGAGCCCTGAACCTTCACTGGACTTTCTGTCTATAAAATAAATGGTACCAAGTGCTCAGGAAACAGACTTTCAAATGGCAAACCCC